GCTATGCATAATGTGTATGTGATATAATACATAGCATCTTCTATTCGTATGGATGATGAAAGTGGAACAGGGGCCCGTTCTCATTGGTTGTTCCTTCTGTGACCAACAGCCCATCACCTCTCTGAACTTCTCGTTGAACGAAGGCTGAAAAGATATTGGCGTCGCTTCTTAGGATTGATACCCTAAATAGACTCCAAACCCAATAAGGAAGGAACAAACATGGATGAGCTACCTCTCGCTTACGGCTCCCACGTGAAAGATCGCTCAGCTGCTAGTGATTCTAAAATGGCAGGCAAGTGCTTTAATCTATTTCAGCGGTAAAGCCTTATGACAGTTTTCCATATAACCAACTTCCGTGTTTCGATGGTCGGCAACGACCGACCGTCGGAGAACGGATCCCAGTGGCAAGTACCGTAACGTGAGTAGTCGTGACCTGGTACGGTATTCGTGAAATCCTCTACCTGCCCTCAACATCATTGGTTTGCTGGAAATGGCTTTTCGTGACTGTGAACATATCGAATCTGACCAGCTCCTGCTTTGACTTTGAGGATCATGTAGAGTTCTCAGATCCATCGTGTTGGTAACCATCTGCATATGGTCAATAATCTGGAAGATATGCTTCCCAGTCGGTAGCTCGCACAGAAGGCTTGTCATAAAGCCAGAAAAACTCGACTAATGAAACAAGGGGAATCGTAGATGCTCCGTTTTTTTTCAACTCTTGAAAGAATACCTACAGAACAGGAGAAAAGAATCTGTGCAACTTTCAGGATGCCAATATCCTTTAAAATCCATGATTTGGTGTCATTTTTTCAACAGAGTCTTGTTTTTACAGAGCTAGTATCCGTTTATTTATCATTGGCCAAGAGCGCCCTGCTGCTTTTGTTTCTAAGCCATATCTACATGGTAACGAACATGGCATGGTAACGAACATGGCTTGCAGTCTCCCTTTTCTTCCCACTGTATCTGCCTCAGAAGGTTGAAAAACGATCGATCCTCCCGAGGTTTCGAACCTGGCAGTTTCTGGCAGTGATTCTTAGACTCTAACGATTGAGTTATCATCCTTATCTCCCTAAGGAAAAGATTACCAGCTGCGTAAATGTGAAAAAGAATGTCGAAAGCTACCGTTCTCATCTAATGGTGTCTACCACCCTCATGATCCTTTCTTTGAAAACATACATATGGTAGCCCCAGACCTTCATTTGACGATACACGTTGTGGTCTTGTTGAACAGGTGCTGTTTAAAGAATAGAAAAAAGTCCGTACTTCCCAGTTAGCGTGCTTCCGTTAGTCGACTGATCGTGGGTTAATGATGGACGTTGCGTCACAGCCGTTTTACCAGCCATGACCCAAGGTTGGTTGTGCTGAAAGGAATGCACCTGGCATCAGAACTGAACTCATACTCTGAAGCCTGTGACGTTGGACAGATGGCAAATCAACCTCGACGGTTCGTTAATCGCAGAAAGTTCGATGTTCGACTGGTGCTGATGTCGGCAAACGTTTATTTCTTTCTAGACGTTTGTTTAGTACTACAACTGACGACCGTCGAACTCCGACATAGCGGTCTTAAAATGTTGGCTCATAAAAGGAGGGAAGGAATGGAAATTGTTTGCAATCATTGGAATGTCAGCCTTCCTTACGCTCACATGATTGTCGGGTGATTTCTTCATTTTGTTTCAGTTTAATTGTGGAGGGCTGAACTCCATTTCCCAGCAATGAGTCAGGTGTGCCTTATTTGACAGGCGAACTATGTGGAAAGCATAGTGTTTAACATGCAGATTCCTGCACACAAGGTGGTACTCATTCATCAACCACAAAAGGAAGAAATGCCCATTATCTCACCCCATTGGCTCGAACCGGCATTTATCGATTGTGAATCCGATTGAAGCACTGAGCAATTCCGCCTGAGGCAATTCGGGATCATTGTTCAAGGGAAATATCGATTGAGGCAAAGATTGTTTTGCGGCTGGAATTAAGCCCGACACGTGTGGAGTTGGAAGCCAACCTCTTGGGCACTCATTCACCACATCCATACGACAAGAGGTGGAGGACGGTGGTAGATCAATAAATGACAATACATCGGGAGCAGGAACGCGTGCTGGTGCGCTGCTCTTCCATCGGCGGCACAGATCCACGGCGAAGATGGGTGTTTTTAAAGTGCTTAAATTCTTGGCAAAGAATTTAAGACCTTCTCTCATAAGTTGGCATTCCACCGGTCGGCTGGCCGAAAAACCAGATGCTGCGAAATATCGTCTAATCGCTGACCGACGGCCAGCTACAAAAACCTCCTCGCACGCGTACTTACAAAAGAGAGGTCGACAGCCGCCTCGAGGATCGCGTCGCGCACATCGCGAGTATCCTAGTTTTTGCCACCATTTCAATCAGAGCTTTCATCTGCTCACGCAGAGCCTAGCATTCTGAATGAACCACTGAGTTTTTGGAGGCGCCGGTGGTGCCGCGAAACGGCACCTGCAGTCGCCGCCAAACCTGCGTTCACCAGTGGTTGAATCTACGTCCAGCGAGGCATCCTTCGTCAACTGCATGTCCCCGTTACGGTCAAGGGCTTGCCAGCTTTAACAGACGTCTGAATGCAACGCAATTGTCGGGGGGACAGGGCAATAGGTTCGAGCCTCGGTCTGGTTGTTCCCCCTTCGTCCTTCCGAGGTAGAAAGGTCACCAGCTTGAGGGAAAGGAAATTAGAGGCTGGGAGCTGTATTTGCACATAACTACAGACGCTGTCTTAAGACGAGACGAGGTTGAACGCTGTCACGGTTTTCACGAAGTGAACGGTGCCTATCACGGAAGGGTATGGGAAACGGTCATTGCAGCAGCTGCAAATCTGCTCTGGTGTGGTCATGCCGAAGTGTGCTCAACGTCCAGCCACGTGTATGTGCTCCATGACTGCGGTTCGCCTTCACCTACCTGACGGCCTATTGAAAATCGGCAAATGTGTACTTTAGGAAAAGGACTTCAGAATTATATGAACACATTCCACGAAGGATCTGCATAAATTGAAGGAAGAGATTTTCAAAGTCCGATGGTCTTCCAGTTTTGCTAGTGCAAAAGCGATGATTCAGAAACTGCCGTTCTGCCATTCACTGCCTTAAGAATGGCAGTAGTCAAGCTCATGTGCATTTTGTGAACATGACCATCTTGGGGGTTTGACGACTTTGAGAAAATCGCCTGCTTCCTATATCTGCAACGAAACGATTGCAAGATGTGCCATATCTGCACGATCGCAATGCACTCGAAACGTTTTTTCACATCCAGCGGTTTTCGATTCACATGACTGTACTCGCTTCGTCTTAAATTCCTCGTAGACACACAGAATCTTCTCGTCTGACAACTGACGTGGATTTGTTCCTTTTTTCTGCTAGGTGTCTCTCTGGCAAGAAAATGCTGCAAAGAACCAGTTCAGATCTGCACTTCTGGCACGATAGTTTGCTGTGCTTAGAATTTTGTTTTTATTTATTTATTATTTGCGGGATGCTGCTTGTACTGACGAAAATCTGGTCATTAAATAACAGCCATTGCGGGAGCTCCATAGTTTTTATCCTGACGGCATATCAGGCATCATGATGTTTCAGTTCTTTGTAATGAATCGGTTTTCTCCTCAATTCTGCGACGTCTACGCTCAAACGCAGCGGAAGCAGTTTTCGATTGAAAATGCAACATGCCATCATGGTTTTTTACCCAGATATGAAATGACACAACCGATTGAAATATCACAAGAATTATTTTGCTCAATTATTACGAAACGAAGCAAAGTTTGCAACCGTTGGAAAGTCGGTCTTCTTATGGTATAGCAGTGGGCCATTTATGAAGTCTTTCAGTTCATGAAAATAATGAGGCTGATCCTCAGTTTTATGCCAGCAGTCAGGAGTGACCAATTTTAAACGTACGCCGACATCAGCTATCTCGAAGGCTGTTTCCTTTCCTAGAATGTATTCATTTATTAATCTCGAATGGAAGAAGGCATGTGAGTTGTGAGTCCAACACCGATTCTCTACCGACTGAGTAATCTTGGTCTAAGCCAACGCGTGGTAAATTTATTACTCAAGGGTATTCGTGATTAAGACAAAGAGGATGCTCCACCACCGGAATCGAATATGGCTCCTCCGGAATGTGAATCAGACCACCTAGGCGCTGTGCCACCATGCCAGTATTAGAGTTCTAAGC